CATCTTTTATGATATATATGATATATGACATGATATATACACACATCATAAAAGATGGGCAATACAAATTATTAATGATTTCTGAGTGATAAGATTATTTAAGAAGTTTAAGATTTTCTTTACACCTTTGTGAATGTTTTGAGATTTCTATATTTAGTATTATATTTATTATAACGAAAACAATTTTTAAATAGCACTTGCCCCCATTTGTAGAAAGGTATGGCTAACAGAGAAAGCTCAAAATCTATTTTCAGAGTCCCCACAAGGCGTACGCCTCCACTGAAGTCCTTCTGCCAATTGACAAGGGATCTGAGTAGTCATGCCCGCAGGCAGAGTGCATTGGCCTGTGGATTACGTCCACTGCTCTAACCACCACAGGGAAGAGGGTTCTCCTTGGGAGATTTATCTGAGAGTACCCTTGATGGAGGCCACCATAATAGGGGTCAAATACTCATGAGTCATGCCCTGACTGCCTGGTGGAAGGCCCTGGACTAATCTTGTAAACTCTTCTAACACAATATGTGTCCCAATCATGGTTCCCTTCCTGCTTCTGTAGTACAACCTGTAACTTCGATGTATTCATTCACCACCACTCATGGCTTTATAACAGTTTCTTTGTGCTATTTAAGTGGAGTATGGCTACAAATCGTCAGACGTCATAACCTGACCATAATGATCTTCCTTATCTGGATGACATGTCTTTGTCGTTGTCCTGTTTAAGACTTAATAAATGCTTCCTTTAAACTATAAAATAAGGTGCTCTGAAGTACAATACCATGCAGTGCAGACGCTGAGTTTCATGACCATTAACACATTCAAGTCCAAAGGCAAAACTTCACTTTCATTTGAGTCCTCTTAAATGTTACCTGATTAGCACCCTAACCCTTCTGTGATGATTAATTTCATGTATCAACTTGACTAAGCTATGGTTACCAATGGCTTATCAAACACTAGTCAAGTTGCTAATCTGTAGGATAAATCTAATTAGATATAATGTAATCATCTTCCTAATTTAGTCAATCAATCCGTTGAAAAGGGTTTCTTTAGGGTTGTTCTCCTTCCAAACTATAAATAGATACTTGAGCTGACTCTGTTCTCTTCACTCTGTATGCTTTCCATCACCTGACCTAAAATCTTGGCACACAGTCCTCAGGAGTCCACAGACTGACATCTAAACTACAAATTTTGGGCTTCCCAGACCTTCAATACAATCATATGCATTAGCAAGACCTTCCAGTCTGTCTCCTAACCTACAGATTTTGACTTGCCGGTCCCCACAATTCGTTAAGCCAATCATGTGAAGTAAATAAATTCATCTCAATTTCTTTTGCCTATCTCACTGACACTTCTTCTCAAGAGAAGCCTGGGGACCTCCTCATCCCAGGGTGGTTCTCAGGAATCATGTCCAGAGAGCCATCCCAATTCATACCCTCTCCACCTTACCTGGTCCCCATCTAATCACAAGAAGGAATCAGACCTGGACTGGGAAGGCAGAGGAAAGGAATGCTTGAGTCTTTTATGGAAACCAGAAATTCTACTTAGACCTGTTTTCTTGCCTTCTTTTTCAGCTTCCAATCTGATAGGGCACAAGTTAGCTTTGGTGACTTAACTTTGAACCAGGGCAGAGTAAGAGAAATATTACATAGAGCTTGGATGTCCGTGAGTCTTTCTGCATGGAGAGTTAGCAAGTTTCCTAATGTACATCCCAAATGTGGCATGGTAATTATTCTAGTAGATGCCATAGAGACCCAGTTAATGCAATAGAAAAGACCTAAGGTGAAATATAGATATTGTGACTTATGGTAAAAGTTCAGAGCTTATAAAGTCATAACTACCCTTCCTCCCCAGGATAAACAGGTGACAACAGGAAGAATCAAGAGACTCATCACTTTTTATGAATGAGATTAATAATGATGGCATATGGCTAAGAATGAACGGCAAATATACTATTAGAAGCACTAAGGCACTACCTAAAACAGCTGGGAATGGAAATCCTATATGAGCCGGCAATACTACTATTGGGCATATACCCCAAAGGAATGAGAGACAGAACACTAATCGATGTATGTACGCCTTCCCATGTTTATTACAGTACAACTCACGACAACAAGAAACTGGAAACGGCTCAAGTACCCAACAACAGAAGGGTGGATAAAGGAACCGTGGTGTATATACAGAATGGAATACTACACACCCCTAAAAACAGTGAGGAAAGCAAGAGACACCTCATGATATGAGAAGACCTGGAAAACAGTGTGCTGAGTGAAGTTAGTCAATCACAAGAGCACACCTGTTGTGTGAGTTCACTGCTGTAAAAACAAACACCAAGACGCAGACAGGCGTCTGCTCTCAGGTCATAGAAGCTTCTCACCCAGTCTCCCAAACAAAAAGAGCAGAGAGCCTGCCTCACATCCACGAACCGTACCTCATCCCCCCACACCCATGGCGCACCCCCCAGCTTATATGTACAGCTTCGAAACCACTTAGACAGAGATCACCTAACCTCAGCTGAGGTCATTTCTTTAGAAAGGAGAGAGAGGGGAAGGACCATTCATTTGCTGTCCTACAACATTTTGATAAGGGCACGCCAAATCAAGACATTCCTACAGGAATGGTAAGGGAAACTTTGTGGAAAGTCAAGGTGGAGGGGTGGGAGAGCATCAATGTCATAGAGGAGGTATTTTCATTTCTGTTGGTGGGTGAATAGGGAGAAACAACTTCTCAGTAGGAAAAACAATGCTTACAGTACTTATATAGGACCCAATAGGAGAATAAGCCTGATACCATGTCCCTAATTAGACGCTTTTGACCGAGTTTCTACCCAGCCCTTGGTGATTCAGGTTGTGTGCTATAAACTACTGTGACTTTACACGCAGTCCTGTCATGGAACACAAGATCCTTCATAGACCACACCTTTAGGATGTGATGTGTAAACTTCACTAAGTGAACTGGGCTTTACCTCAAATTTACCTGGAGCCCTTGCTCTTAAGACTGAAACTCCCCAGTGTGAGGAGAAATAGATGACTGCCGCCCCACAGCTATGGGAGTGGTTATCAGTGGGCTTTGTTTCCGACCCCCAGCTTGAAGGGTACCCAATGAAAGGAGACCAACACCACAATAGATTTACTATTTTAATGCCCTCCCTGTCTTACCATGACATGTACTAGTCTAATAGACATGGTTCTACCCTTGTGAATGAGTGTTAATGGAAATGTTGTCTTATCACCAACCCCACTGTCAATGTAAACAGTGCTTAATGCTTTCAGCACTGTACAAACCAGTAAGAGTTTGATCTGAACAGATCAACAATTCATGGCATGTGGCTCAAGCCAGTCTACACTTGCAGAGCTTCCTGTTTGCAGCAGTGAGGTAAACGGGATCAGGAGTCAGCAAACTGGGGCTCTTGAGCCATCTGTGGCTCTTATAGTACGTCCATTTGGCTTTGAAGTAAAACTGAACATTTT